GAGGACTGCAGCAGGAAAGGTCATCAAATGGGGCAAAGCTCACTTAAACATCTGTCTCACCTAACAATGGAAAAATTGGGCTCAGTGGCGGTCCTAAGTCGAAGGACTCCCTGTATTTATTAAGAAATGGAAGGCAAGACTTATTCCCCCCACCCACCCCATGTGTATTTACTTTTCAGTCTTTTCTGACGCAGGGAGACCATTTCGTAGAGTTCACGCTCCACCAGGCCGTCCATTTCGTTCTCATCCAGCCACTTCCCACAGGGGAAGGTCTGTTCGATTCCGGTAAATGGACAGTACACCACCACCTGGCAGAGGGAGATAACACGAACGATTCCACTTAGTTCATATTCAACTCAGCCTGCGCCCTTTGCCCAGCCTGGCACCCTCCGAAGGCATACAGCAATCTGTCCTGACCCAGCTCCCCAAACACGGCAAACCCTCTGACGTGAACCCCAAAGATGCCTTTAATTAGGAGTGCTGATAAGTCCATCCGTCCAGAAGATCAATGGTCATCTGCCACATCTATTCATCTCCACCCGCCCCTGTGTTAGGAATAACAAGGTTACCTAACGTAGTTTGGGTAAAATAATATATATAAACTATGATAGTAAGTTTAAGTGTGCGTCACTTTAAACTGCAAAGCATGTAATTTTGGGTGCAGTGTGAAACCGCCATAAGAGGGAGCAAGAGAACCTGCTGGCTTGCTGACGATTGCTGGTTTGATGGATTGATGATTTGCTAACTGCGTGTTCCCTGCTACTGAGTTGTTTCTTGTCCTTCCCTCAAGTTGTTCTGGAGAATAATTTGACCTCGTCTTCTTTGTGGCAGTCCCTCAAATACTGGAATACTATCATATCACCCTAATTCTTCTTTTCTTTAGACTAGCCAAACCGATATCCTGCAGCCGTTCTTCCTCTCTTTCAAACGTTCAAGTCTGATTTCATAATTGAAATCAGAGTTTTCCATTTATATATATATATATGCTGTCCCAGGTCATCCTGATCAGGTTGCCAATGGGATAAAAAAAAGCTTGAACAGCTGTTCAGCAACACCTTAGGACACGTCCTTACCTTCTCGCAGTACCAGCCGCAACTGATGCCAGCGTTATCGTGCCCGATGGAGATGCGACTTAAGGGGCTAAGGAGAGCCGCAATTTCGACACTGAAAAGGTCGGTCCTGCTCCGTTCAAACTTCCCTCCTTCCAGAAAAATCTTCCCGCTGTTTTTCAGCCCTTTGGAGCCATGCATGACAATATGAATTTTGGAGTTGGTTCCTGCCCCTCTGATGTCCCCTGTGACCACTGCCACGTTGTAAACAATGCCTGAGAGGGTGATAAGGGAGTTAGAGAAGCAGAATGCAAAATGCAGCTACCACAACGATCTTAATAATGGCGGGCTTATTACTAATCCTAATGACTGTTTCCATCATTTTCAAGGTACAGATACCGCAGGGGAACTATGGCCCCTTTATGACTTGTGGACTTCAACTCCCAGAATTCCTGAGCCAATTCTGGGAGTTGGGAGTCCACAGGTCATAAAGGGGCCACAGTTCCCCACCCCTGACTAGTTTTAAAGGAGACATGGAGAAACATGTTTTTAAAGGCAGAAAGCAACCTCAACAGCCTCCAGCAGATGCCTGAACTCTTTAGAGAAGGAACTAAATTGTGCCCATTAAGAAATCCAGGCCAATCTATTAATAAACAAACCATCTTCAGCTCCAGATGATGAGATTAAGAAAGACAGGAGATGGACTTTAGGTATGGGTGGGATTCAACCGGTGCTCCTATCAGCTCGGTGTCATTTTGACTTGGTGACCGGGTTGGGGGCATGGCCAGCCAGAAGTTACTCCCGGTTCAGTGACCCACGCCAAATCCTTGCTACCGGCTCTCCTGAAGTAGTGCGAACCGGCTGAATACCTCCGCTTCTCTGAACCCAGGAAGGCCCCAAAATGAAGTGTGGACGGGTGCTGCGCGCCCCTCCTATGCTCCGTTTTTTCCTTCCTGAGCCCCAGGGGGGCCTTCGGGGAGCAAAAACGCCCCCCAGAGGCTCCCCTGAGGCTGGGAAGGCCCAAAAAACAGGGTGGGGGGGTAAACGTGGTGCTGCAAAAAAAGCCACACCCACCCAATCACATGACCATGCCCACCTAGTCACGCCCACAGAACAGGTAGTAAAAAAATTTGAATCTCACCACTGATCACATCCCATCCCTTGTGTGCCCAAACACTCTTGTCCAACAAAGAATTCTCTTCTTTTCTCTTCTCTTCTCTTCTCTTCTCTTCTCTTCTCTTCTCTTCTCTTCTCTTCTCTTCTCTTCTCCTCTCTTCCTCTTCTCCCCTCCTCTATATTCTATATTCTATATTCTATATTCTATATTCTATATTCTATATTCTATATTCTATATTCTATATTCTATATTCTATATTCTATATTCTATATTCCATATTCCATTCCATTCTTTTGGAAAACTTCAGCAGATATCTTTCAACCCTGACAGTTTAAATATCTTTCAATACAAGAGTCTGCAAAAGGAGCAAAGGCTAAGCAGAAATTCAGTGAGAATTTTTATCAGAGAAATGTTGGGTTTATTTATGGTGATAAGTCGAGGACTACCTGTATTGGGATCTGCAGGAGCAAGAGAACTTCTACAAAGTCACAGCATGAAGACACCTCTGGTTCCAAGCCCAAATTCCATCGCGCAAAACGACTGAGGAAAATTTTCCCACCCCGTCAAAATAATTGCCGAGATAAATTAATTGAGCCACCTTCAAAAGGGCAACTACGCCAACGGAGGCTTGGCAATCGGCTGGCAGAAATCCTGGATGGCACTCAACTTCCCAGCATGCCTGCTGTTAGCCCAGATGCTTCAGAGTTCTGCATTCTCCCCCATTTCCTCCCCCCGCCCCTATTAGCGCCTTGGCATGGTTTGGATCAGAGTTCCCCCAGAGAAGCCCAAGGATGCTTTTTGACAAGGACAACTTCTGATTTTGCAACTTGGATTGGGAAGGAGAACCTCCGCTCACTCTTGGGCATCTGACTTGCAGGATAGAATGACCCAACTTGGCAAACACAAGACGTTAAAGCCAACAAAACAAAACAGCAAAGCCTCCGTCCTGTTTCCTGCAGTGTTTTGCTGTTGTTTTTCCTTCCCCTCTCTCTGTCTGTTGCTCTTCTTTTAATTGGAGGGAAGAGAGTTGGCTTTTGAAATTTCCTTCAAAGGAGAAGAAAATCTCTGTGCAATTCTCAATGGGTGGAAAGGACAAAGAGTTGGCCAAATGGTAAAATATGAATGTCCCAACTCTCTCTGTGAAATTATTTCTGCAGAAGTTTGGAACCTCTGTGGATTCGTCTGGTTTATTTAAACCTCAAAAGAAGAGATCAAGAAGGATCTTCTCCAAGAGTTCAGTTCTTCAGTCAGTTCTTCGTGACTATAAGTTAGGGGTCTCAAACTCAAGGCCTGCAGGCTGGATCCAGCCCACAGAATACTTAGATCTGGCTCACAGGGCCACCCTGGAAACAGCAAAGGACTGGCCCACGGTGCCTGTGTCAGGTAATAGCATTCCTCGGTGGCGCAGTGGTTAGAGTGCAGCACTGCAAGCTACTCCTACTGCAGTTCAAATCCCACCAGGCTCAAAGTTGACTCAGCCTTCCATCCTCCCGAGGTGTGTAAAATGAGGACCCAGATTGTTGGGGGCAAGAGGTTGACTCTGTAAACCACTTAGAGAGGACTGGAAAGCACTGTGATGCGGTATATAAGTCTAAGTGCTATTGCTATAGTGCTATTGCTATTCTGTATGCCTCGGCGTATAGTCATATGCTGGCTACATGACCATGGATGTGTCTTCGGACAATGCTGGCTCCCTCAGCTAGGAAACAGAGGTAGCACGGACCCCTAGAGTTGGACACCACTGTACAGGAGAAACCTTTTTTGTTCTAGGACCGTGATGATGAACCTATGGCATGCGTGCTGAAAGTGGCACACAGAGCCATCTCTGCCGGCACATGAGCAGTCGCCCCAGATCAGGTCCACTGCGCATGCGTGCATGCCTCCCACCAGGCAGCTGATTGTTGGGTATCTCCCACGCATGCGGGGGGTGACACACATGCAGGAGATGTGGGTATATGCACAGAGCACAGGGCACACACGGGGAGGGGGTCACATGCAGGGGTGGGATTCTACCGGTTCGGACCTATTCGTAAGAACCGGTTGTTAACATTCTAAGCAGTTTGGAGAACCGGTTGTTAGAAGAAATTACTGGCCTAATCCTGTAAGGAAGGCAGGAAGGAAACATTCTGGTGTTGCTTACAGAAACTGCCTCTCCGTTAACCCTTATCTTGGCAGGACTAGGCTTCCTGTCTCAGGAACTTCTCTGGAGTTTTTTTCCCCTCCTTTGCTGGTACTTTGCTTGTGTGGAGTGACCATTCAAAGTTACAATGGCACTGAAAAAAGTGAGTTAGGACCGTTTTTCACACTTACGACTGTTGCAGTCTCCCCACAGTCATGAGAGGCCAGGCGAGGAGATGCATGCCTCGATGTGAGTGATGTTGATTTGGGCACGTCCAGCCAATAACATGACCACCAAGCCACATCCACCCAGTCACATGACCACTAAGCCACGCCTACTACCTAAGCCACGCCCACAGAACCGGTTGTTAAAAAATTTGAGTCCCACCCCTGGTCGCATGTGCATGTGCAGAGGTGTGTGGTGCATGCGGGGGGGGGTGTCTCATGCGGATGCGCAGGGGGGCAGGGGGCCTTGTGAGCATTGCATTATGGATGCAGGCAGCATGTGTGCCCACGCAGACTTTCAGCACGTGACGACGAAAAGGTGAGCCATCCCTGTTCTAGGAGTAGGCTGCTGTGGAAGTAGATAGACACCTGTCTCAGGTACACCTGCCCTTCAAACTGCGCTAGGCAAAGGATGAGATTCTGTGGCTGTAATGTTTGAAGGCTTGGAAGTTGCTAACAATGAAATGAGCTTCTCCAATCCTTTCTCCTTAGGTTGCTTCCAGCTCGCCGTTTGGATTAGAAAAGCCACGGCCCTTCTCACTCCCAGATCCCTTCCGCACTTCCTGCTTCTCCAAAACTAGCACACCAACAACCAACAACAGGTCACGCCCGGCTGTTTTTCTCCAGGGCTTTTAGAGATGGTCTGTGCTAAGCAGCCAGGCAGAGGTCTCCCGTGAACGGGACACCCTCAGCCCAGATGCTACCTAATCTCCATCCACCTGCCCACTCGCATAAACCTCCATTCTGAGAGGGAGATGGGGCATTGGTGCTTACCTGATATGTCCATCATCCCCCCCCCAACTTCCTTAATACTGCAGAGAAATATGCTACAGCTATGCAATCTGCAATGTTTCAAACCAGCAAGCACACCAGATGATGCAACAGAACTAGCACAAGGAGAGGCATTGCTCGGCTTATACACTTCTCCATTCTCAAGATGTAGTAAGGCTGTATTACTATTGTCCTTCTCGTCTCTCCTATTGGCATCTATGATTATCACTTTGTTGTCTATTCTATTCTATTTTGTTCTGTTCTGTTCTGTTCTGTTCTGTCCTGTCCGGTTCCATTCCATTCCATTCCATTCCATATTTTCTATTCTATTCTATTCTATTCTATTCTAT